GCGTACTTGCCCATATACTTTGGATCACATATCCACATGGGAACAATCGGAGGTACTAACACAAGCGTTAAAACAAATAGTTCTTAATCAAGATGCGCTTATAACCAAGTGCGGGAAGACATTTCCTTATAGTTCGCAAACTTGCAGACTAGTTCACATGAACACATAAAGCCTTGGGGAAACACGTAGATTATTAATATCGCCCCTCTCCATTATAACTAACCTGTGACATGGCTTCCTTTGTCTCCACAACATCAACCACGTGAACGTTCTTGTTCTTGTCTTTTTTCTTTTTGTCTTTCTTTTTCTTTTCTTTATTTTTCTTCTTTTCCTCGTTTTCCTTTATCAGTTCCTGCTTAGCCTTAAACTGTAATATCTTTCTTGGGTTGACCCCTGTCAGTTTGTACACCATTTTCTTGAACTGCGCAGTATTTGCGAAATACAGCGCCGCCTGCATGCGGAATATCTTGATACCGGGAATTTCAGTGGCCTGTATAATAAATACACGGTGAATATATATTCTTGAGGTAATCATGGCAATAAATATAACATAACAGCATATGTACAGTTATCATAAAATTGATATATGGTCAAATATATGTTTAACATTTAGACAAAATACACTTATCGAGTCTACGCTTTTAATATACCGGGATATGCAAATACATGTACTACCCAAATTGATCCGATATATTATGATGTTAAAATAGTACAACGTTGCAAATTTTAGTTTGATGCCGATTTATACTTACATCTTCATACCACTTTATGTCCTTGTAGATATCCGTACCAGGTATTCTACCTAGTAACGTGCAATACGGTTCCTGCGTTCTCCAGACATATGCAAATATAGAAAAGGCTACACCGATGACAATTCCAATATCCACGTCCAATAGTACTACAGATAGGCAGCTCACCATCCATACATGCTGAAATAGACAATATAATACAAACGTATCAACGAAGTGACTCTCTCTCAGGTACTTGTGTTCGATCATGATCATGATTATGAGACATGGATCGGGTCATGAGACTAGAGGACAATGGAAGGGAAGTTTAGGATCAATTAATCTGTTGAATTTTCGTGGAAAATGATCTGCATAAACACTTAATTCATTGCAGTACTGATCTTCTCGTCGCCGAGTTATGTTACCTCTCAAAAGATAAAATATGTTATGATAATAATATTGTCTAACGTGTGTATATAATTTAGCGTTGTATTGTGTATCGCTTCAGATTGGAACAGTCCTAACAGTGAATAGCGTACTTGTATGAATTGAAATACTGGCATAAAAATTAAGTAATACTAATACGAAGATAACTAAACGTTTATTTGCAATTTAAAACAATGAAAAGCCACTAATTGATTCAGTGTAAAATAACATATCTGGGTTGGGAAATAGATTTAGGTTTTTGATTCTGGATCAGCAGAATAACACGCAAATGTTTGGTTGTTTGTATATGATAAGAACGTGCAACGGAACCCGAATAGATGTTCTGCTTTATGGGGGGTAGAATGTTCGTGTGAATGTGTGCATTTTGAATCCGCATCGCTGTCAAGTAATGATGTGCCTCCGCATATTCAATATAGTTAAAATTACAAGCCTCTCCAACTGGTTGCCCTTTGAACGCGTTGGTAGCATCACGCGAAGTTGGCCTATCTCACAAATTCTTATCATAACACAACGATAGCAACTACTTGAATAAACCATGCCATATTTATCTAACAACTTATCTAGAATGACAAGAGTTATCTTGTTTTACTAGGCGATAGTTCGTTCGAGCACACCTGTGAATACACGCGTCTCAATCAGACCGCGTACATTTTTCAGTAACCTGGGGATCTCCAACTGCCGAACAAATATTGTACTATTATAATTTTCAGATTTTAAATCCCTTCGTGTGGAGTTTGGAACATGTTACTTCATATATAAGTGTCGATCATTTACCGGGGAAATACATGGCGGAATTGAACATTTTCTATGTAATGATGTTTCATCCGAGCTCTAAGATTGGTTATATAAAAATACATTCATGCAAATAATGGACGTAAAAATTGAATATTCGATCAAAATCCCACCGAAACCTCCAACAAAACAAACAACAACACACTTTTTCAAATAACTATTAATCCATAATTTCTACTGAAGTATACAGTAAATGCCAGTATCAATATAGCAAGAATAATTAAGATACCCAAAGGAGGGATGGACGGGTCATAAAATTGTCTAAACCCATACAACTACAAAGGTATGTGACCGAGTGCTACACTAATATACTCCAATCAGTGTACATGCAATGCGCAATCGACTCGACCATTTATTAAAATAAATGCACAGGCAGATGTGGAATTGTGGAATCCCAGACCACGTCCCGAAGGGGAATTTATTGCTGATAATATCACCACAAGGCAAAAAACTCTTTATATATTGAACCGGATATCCAAAAGGAACCATGTAGCCATTTTTTTCATCTTGGCTGTCACACAATGATCCGGGGATACAACCGGCACTCACTATCAGTGTTCCAGAATATGTACAACGTACGGCGAGTTACCCGCATCATTTGTAACATCAATGTTAATTTAGAGTTTTTGCTACTCGGCTCAGTAATCAGACACAAATAACTTATCGCCATGTGCCAAGACTTGAGATAATGTTACTGCGATAGTTAATCATCGAAATACCTCTGCGATGTGTGCTAGTTTTGTTCGATTGGTAGATAGCATTAATTGTACAGCCCCTCGAAAGATATAGTTTTGAGCAAATAAAGCATGGTAGGAAAGCATTAACCTAATTTTGATCTTCAGTATAAATCCTGATTTAACAACCTATATATAACTATCTTACCTCGAAAATAAATCAGTGTATGATTTTTTAACAAATATTAAGTAATTTGAGAAATATTATGATGCCTTCATACATTTCCTGTGGAAATTATACATTCCGTAAGGCACCCTGCATATTTATACGAACTAAAACAACTGTTTTTAACTGAATATAATACAAGTATTTCATGTAACACATCATGTTTGAAGGGAGAGTGCAGATGGTATTAATTCAATAACGGTGAGTGTGTTATAAAGATCTAGTGAGTTGTATAAACTCATTCAACTACCAAGAAATATTTATAGTATGGATGGTGTTGGAATGACTTGTATAAATTAACACGGGCAATGTTATACAAACATGTGTACATTTAGTAACATGTCTCTGTATTGCAAATAAATTAACGTCAAATGATAGTGTATAATTGCTACTTTGTCAAAAGAGTTTGCTGCAGTATCCAATATACATTTGGACGTTTAACTGACCCGTCTTCTCAAATTGGAGTAGCACGCCTCCGTCGGCAACGCTTGATAGTAACTTATCACCGGATTCGACGTTCTGCGATAAATTCCATTTCGTTAGTTAATCCCCCAAATATCTATGCGATACAGCTGCAGAAGGTGTGAGTTTAGTTAGATAGCGGCATATTTGAGATAAGTGCATACTCTATATACGTGATGTACAATCTCCGGAGAAGATTATTTCACATAGATAACGCATCGGAAGAAACATTGTGAATCCCTTTTGCTTAGTCACCTAGTTATTAATGTACACCCTGTCCTATTAAATAAACTTGTGAATTAAAATTAGAAAACTATTATTGATGTATATTGATTAAAGATGTTACAATTTATTTATTTACTTACGCTTACACATTTGTTCGTGAGGGTACATGAAAATTAACTTTGGAAATAATGTAATGCTACTATAGCGTTGCTGGCAAAAAAACATATACCCGAAAACTATGACTGACAAGAAGCCAAGCATCAGTCCATTAAGCATGCTTCAATTTATATAAAATTAAATTAAATTTAATTAATGTTATATAAACTATATCAACATGTGTAATAGTTTTTTGTATCCTATTAATGATTTCCATGTACTAAAAAATGATGTGATCACAGACATGGCTTTTAGAAGTCATTCCTATTTATCATTTGCACTTACGTGTGCTTTCATAGTAACCATACAAATGAGCTCTTTTTATTTTTCTGCAAATTAGCTATATCACACACCCTCTAATTTTGTATGACTGTGCAACTCCAAAAATAAGTTGTTTCAAGATTTAGCCCATAGGCTATAATTACATCATATAAAATGCAATGTTTTAACTGAATATGCACACAACGCAACAGCTTTAACTATGCCCGACAATTTGCATAACTGTGAGATAACTAATAAACATTCGAGCTTTATTATGAAAGCTATAAATAAGTTTTAATAAGTGTGTTCACTGACTGACTAAATTACGTTTTTAGAAAGGATAATTAAAACTTTTTATTGTGTTACGAATTTAAGGGAAACGATTGAAAACAAAATGATGTTGTTTTATTTATTTATTTATTTATTTATTTACTAATTTATTTATTAATTTGCTGAACAGTTCTAAATTATAACGAAACATTACGTTAATTCTATAAACATATAGAATTAACTATTACGTATTTTTAGAAAGGATCTAATCGTACATCAGTTGATATTTCTCCTTTATAAATATCCTCATTGGATTGTACACCAAATACACATAAAATGTAAGTGTCAAATCAACAAAGATAATCGAGTTATAAAGAGGTAGATATTGGATGAACAGGTTGTAAATCTATTCAAACCCGTTCAACTGCCAGGACTGATTTATGGCTATATGGCTGTGACAATAGTGAATCCCGTATATTTAAAAACACATTCGTAAAACTATTTAACAAGGCAAATATAACATATTATTGGAAAATTATCGCTATGTGAAAACATTACCCTAGAACGCTACGTGTCACATAAAGGCTGTACCGTACTGGTTGATATACGAGCAAAGTTCAATCTATTTGGTTGTACCGCATAAGATTTCACTAGTCCGTTTTGGGGTCTCTGTGTCAGACAAACCTACCTTATCGGTAGAATCGACGTTTGATAAATTATATTGGGTTAGTTAATCGCGATGTAGCCACAGGAGATGGGACCATTTAGGTCGATAGTCGTACATGGTTAATTTTAGCCTCCACTTTATCTACATCATATATTATAATTACCTGACTAACGCTACATTTGCCTGAAAGTTAAAAAAATGATATATCTCGCCACTTGGGCGCAATAATTGGTCGTCATTCGTGAGATATTTTATGTAATAATTAAAATCGTTAAAATTTCATTTTGATTTGACAGTCATTTAAACTATTTTAACTTCAGAGTGGTGTAGTTTTCCAACTTATTTGTAAACTACTACGTCTTCCAGTGTTTTGTATATGTATGTTCTCTCGTGTTTTGAAGGGAAAGTGTGTGAAGAATTTCATTGTGAATAATTGGTATTTTTCATCCATTATCAAACTCTAATTATTTTAATTTAAACGCTTGTTATCTGATGTGTTTTGTGGCAGTGTGTTTGTTATTTGGTGCATAAATTCGATGTATTGCTCGTGTAATATCATATTTTAGTAGAATTGTCATTATGTGTTTCAGTGAGTGATTAAAATGTGTTTCTGTCTCGACTACTTGATGTTTGAACAGTCGTTGTCTTATGTGTTTGAGAGATCGACTTCTATGTAAATATAACCAGTTTAGCATGATGGGATAGGAATGGCCAATCCCTTTATCAGAGTGACCCACATCCACAAGTGTTCTGATAAGTGTAATGTCACGTAACCATGGAAACATAAAGTAATTGACCATTTGTCCAGTCTGTTCATATTACTATGTTAAAGGTACAATGCGTGCCCCAGGGACGAAAATGGCCAAGACCTTTAGCGTATTAACCTAGTCAAATTTAAACCAGGCTAGGGTGACCGTGTTCTGGTTCCAGAACGCAAACATCAAATATGTTGTCTAAAGACACACGTTATTTTCAATTTTTTTTTTTGTATTTTTTAAATTTCATCGAAGCAAACATTGCTAGCAGTGATGTATATACGTTTGAACAATGGCGCACCCTCTTAACCATTGCATTTTGTTGAACACTAGTGACATGACGTTTAGGCGATAAAAAAAAACTTTCATAAGACCATTACATAGTTACATAGTAAGGATTCTGTATTAGCCGAAGCGTCTACAATTAAGTTAAAGAAAAGAGTTGAGAACAGTATGCCCAGGGATATTAGAAAGCGCTTGGAGAACACAAATCAAAACAAAACAAAACGAAAAATAGACCGTATTAATATAGAGAATAAAATACAAGCCGCCTGGACTCAGTACGTGTGATGTGTAGCTGGGAGCTCAACACGTGAATTATCCAGACCCCAGACAATTTGCATAACTGTGACATAAAACGGGGTCAGTTTTTGATTAACATTTTCGTAATATATTAAACCATAGATAAATGTTTTCAACAATGCTACACACAAATAATAGTGTTTGGCATGCATCCGTACATAGTTCTGACGACTTTGACCCGTTAATGGAAAAGTACAAACTCAAACAATTAAATTAACAGCGGCTGTATGAGGTAACACCATTATAAAAGCATGTACACAGGAAAACGATTACAAGTACCTGTAAATGAAATACAAATCACACAAATATTTGAGGGATACTTACAAAGTCCATGAGATCATACTTGAAGAGCCTTGGGACATCCAAGATCTGTCGGAATATACCTCGTAGCGCAATTATAATAACAGCAGAAAGCACAGCCTGTGAGAGTAAAAATACATTCATTGTACTTTTGTCAAGATATTTGTTGGGGTTTATAAAAATGATAATAATGTTATGTTATGTTCCGTTATGTTCCGTTATGTTATGTTATGTTATGTTATGTTA